AGACAAAAATCAACTTTGGACGCCTGGTCCAACAAACCGTGAGCATCGTGTGAAATCATATGATGCTTTGGCGTCATGCTGAACCTTCGCTTGTGCTGCTGCAACGTGATGTTTGCACAAATCGCATAATGAGCCAGGAAAGTATAAATCCAATTTCCCACCTGCTGTGCTTTTGCCCTGCACATCCAGAACCCTGAACGGTACATTGTCCCCAGGGCCTTGTTCATCGCAAAGGCGCCTGAAGCCTCAGCATCAGCAAATGCAATCAGCAAAAGGTTAGTAGACACCAAACCCAAAAGACAGAAAACAAAAAACACATCTAGTTGTGCGTAAACATATACTGAGTAAAGCAAAAGGTTCAATGGACAAAAGCAATGGGTCGTGAGTCTTGTTCACAATATGCTCTTGGCAGAAGTGATCTAGAAACCACATCAATTGCGTTGACACCACTCCCTTCGACCACCGCCCAATAGGGCATGTAGAGCCCTGTGGAAAGCCCATGCTTTCACGACTGATCTCAGTGAGGAACGGAGTGGAACCCTTGGAGCGAAAGAAGGAGATGTACAAAGAAGTCAGCCACTGGAATTTCACCTCCACGGAACCTGGGACTACACTTGGCAAGGACGATTCAATGATTCCCACAAACGCACTTCCCAAAAAGTGTTTCGAGACTCCAAGGTGGAAGTTGTGCCACAAGTCTGTCATGAAGAATGCAATGCGCTCAGGGTCTCTCAAAGGCAGCCCCTCCAAAATCTTTGGAAGGGATTGCCATGCCACATGTTGGTGCAGGGTGCTCACCCAGGCTGCTTGAGGCGACATGTCCTCGAAGGGAATCGACCTTCGATCAGGGCCCCAATTTTCAACCCCTGCTAAGCACAAGTGGCAAATGCCAGCGCATGCCTTCTGTGAGCGTGCTCCACGTGGTACGTGGCTAAAGCTCCGAGAAAATTGGCCCAACCGGACCAACGCAGGCAAATCCCCCTTCGTTCCGATGTGTATCAGGTGAACCTTGCGCAGGCCGTCCGAAGAAACCACTCCGTTGAAAAGTAGTCTTTGCGCATCCTCGGCGTACAGTTTCACAATTGCATCTTGCGCTGCAGGACACTTCGAGTAAACTGTTTTGAGCATTCCCGAAAAGATGAACTGCGTCGACCAAGTCCCACCAACGAACGACAATCCCATCTCGTTCTGTGATAGTGGCTGTTTGTGACACTGAGCACCGATGTAGAGGGATGTCCCTCGACCAATTGCTCCGTGCGATGACAACACCCAAAAGCCCAAGTGTTTGTAGGATCTACCTTCATCGGTGTGGCTGTAAAAGGGTATGCAACAATCCAGGCATACAATCCCTTCATCTGCAAGGTCAAAAAGTTCAGAAGAAGGTGAGAGAGCTTTGTAACGGCGCCAAAATTCAGCGAGCACCTTCTTCATTTTCTCAAAAGAATCTACACCAACCATTTGCCGTGGCAATCGGCCTGTATCAAGCAAGTACTTGACCCAGGAACTAAGTTTGATAATTGGCCAGTTCTTGACCGTTTTCACACCATCCACAAGGTTTCTACGCTCGATTTGCACTGTTGAAGGAACGAGGCCATGCTTCCTAAAGATCCTGTGGCAACCGCTTTCTGCATCTTCCACACGGACACGGGCAAACTCCATCATCGGACGACTCGGACTGGGGTTCGCCGTAACGTGTGCACGAGCAAGCTCCACCAAGTGCGAGCATGGGGCCTCGGCAGCGCCAGGATGTAACATGTTTCGATGCATCTGTAACGAGAGGTGGAGGTGAGGGGGCAAAAGCAAACCGTCTACAACACTGAAGTCGCACAATCAAAGGTCAACCTACTTCAGCTCATTAGTGTTCTTATAATGGCGCATGAGCTGGACAACACAACAAACATATATCAAACATAACATATCTAAGATACTTCGAACACCATGAGAATGAAAGAAGGTCAATGCTTGCAACTGACATGCAGCGGGCAACAGTTGAGCTACATGGATGGATTTGAGATGTGATGCTACTGCTGTCCCAAAGCAGCACGGACATGTGTTTTCCCTAAAGCAGTCCAGTGTGAGAGCTGGTGATTGTCACAACACTCTCCTGGCTTGGTCAGCACGGGCAGCTGCTACATAAACAAAATATGGCGGTGGAGGAGGGGGGATACGATTGAGGGCCCCATCACCACCACTCCCTGCAACATTCCTGCAACCCACATGTTTGTGGAATTCATGTATCAAAGCGGCTTCGAGCATGTGGACAAGATCCACAGAACAAGATGTGGCTAAAATCCACATCATGGAATAGCCCCCGTTTCTGTACAACTCAAACCGATTGGGCGGCATAGATGTAACGCCAATTTTGAAAATGCAAAGGCGAATGCCCATTTTCTCCCTGAGGGCTGTTACCTTTGCAACACAGTGAGCCAAGAGTTTTCCACATGTGCGGGAGGAGCCCTTGCTCGAAAAAGAATGGTTGTATAGGCCATCTTTGTTGGCCTTTTCCCAATTAAAATTATGAGGGTCAAAAGGCAAAGAACACACCTGATTCATATTCAAATCACATTGGCGATCCTTAGATAGTGTGGGCAACAATGTTGTGCACCCAAATTATTGCTCAAATGGAAAGAGGACACAAGCATACAAAAGCGTTTGCTGAGGTGCTCCTGTCATGGATGGTCTCTTCGCCTTCTTCGTGGGAGGAGACTCTGGGGGGGCTAGGGTGAGCTTCCGTATGATGACCAGGGCGGTTGAAGTATTGCATCAGATCCTCCTCAAGCTCTGGTGTATGAGAGGGTGCCGGATTAGCAGCACCCACTATAGGATGTGGCTTCGCCAATGCAGGTTCCAACAACCTTGGTGGTGGTTGACTGTCTTTACAAGCAATGTTGATGGTGTTGGTGGCATGGAGGACCAACATCATGGGCAGGAAGATTTGGTTTGGAATGTTTGGTGTGGGATCGATATTGACCTCAATGGTGGTTGCTGTATGCTACCGTGAACAATTTCACTGAGATGATCAAGTTTCTTAATACTCTTGATGTCATGAACCCAGGTTGAAGTGGACGCGCCTTGTTTGGTTCTATTGAAAGATCTATAAACTATGTACTTTTACTGTTTGACCTACAGTGAAACACAAATAGAAAACACATGAAGGCCTGAGACACGTTGGCTGGTCATTGTGGGCACCGCCAGCAGTTTGTTTCTTCCCCCGAATAGGGCAAGTGTACGTAAGCAGTGACATCAGCATGTCATTTGAATCGTCCGATTCCTCTCCATCAACCATGGGCAAAAAGGGCGATGCGGCCAACTAAGCGTAACCTTCTTGAGCAATGTTGCTACTTCAGCCACCATCGCTGACATTTGGAATACAAGAACGTGTGGGCCCAGTGGGTGCACTCAACCCCAAGACCTTGTTGCATTGCATCAAGTTGCCATGCCCTACACGCGTGCACAAAGTTCCCAAAAGATAACCCCATACTCAGTCAAGTGGTTGTTTGGAAGGGGCTCAATCCAAAAGCCCCAAACACTCAGTTATCATCAAACCTAGACCCACTTGATTCAACAACAAGTGTTTTCCAAGAACTTTTTCCACCCATATCGTGCGCCCTGGGCGGCAAGGATGAGGATCTGAGATTCCCGACACCGTTTGCGATGAGGCGTGCGCATTGTCGTAGCACGACATCAGGGTCTCCACCTGGCAGCGGGGGCTGCGCAAATGTGTTTTGCAATTCTCTGGCCATGGTAATGCAGTTACACTTGCGCTCACAGTTTCCTTTTGCCAAGAGCGGTCTCAGCAGGATCCCCCGCTGTGAGAACAGCGATTGTTTTCCCATATCTGCAATTGCATGCATCCATGGTACTTTGGAATTTCACTGCCATAGTTTCACAAATGGCAAGCGGCAAAATTCGATCAAAGCTTCCCTGGTCACTAGTCCATCGTCTTTTGACTCTAAAGACAGTGATAGGTTGGCTTCAACATCCCCAAACCAATTCAGACTCCTTCCTGGGGAACAGCTTTCCGAAGGATCTTCAACAGGTTCCTGAGCTCACGAATCCATTGAAATGGACGTCGGCAGGGCTGAGGTTGAAGCTGTTTTTTTTGCATCTTCTGTCAAACATGTTCCATTTTATTGTCATTCATGTTGATATACCTCATGACCCATAGTTCAGGCAACTGTCTTCCCAGCCACTTCCGCAGTGGTGACCTTGGCACACCTTGGGAGAATGAGTGAGTATGGGAGGCCATGAGTGCACCACTGTATCCTAATGTTTTGATACCAAGGGGCTTCATCGTGGTAGAACGGATTTGCGAATCAATCTTCATGAGAAGCCTTATGATCACACCAGCACTCGGTAATCAGTAGCCCTCCACTGGCAAACATAAACTCCACACATCAAAAAAGGTTTTGTTTGTCCAGAAACCCATTTTTCTTCCCTTCATCCTGCTCCTTCCCCACCCCTGCGGTTTCAATCTTCACCCCTTCACAACTTTCGAACTCCTTCTCCAGGGTTTGCACGGCAGATTCGAGCAATTGCACCGACCTCAAGCCATTCCGGGGGAAGGGCGGTAATGTTTCATCGAGCGAAAGAAAAGAAACCAGATGAAACAAGGAAATATTGATATCCATGAATCACTGGGACCAAGACTTTGCAACCCTCTGGCCATCATGGGAACTTTCGGTTTTCCCACCCTCATGAAGTGCAGTTTCCAAGAGCGCGATGAGCTCAGAAATCTTTGAAGACCGAGTCAAAAGACTGTCGGTGAACTGTTTGAACTTCAGGTGTTCCTGCACTGACCAACCAGATGATCAGGAAACAAAGAGGTGGTCGGTGGTAGCATCAAACAACAAAAGATATTAGTGAACTGTCCTTCGTAGCTGTGTTGACCTGATCAGCTTTTGCCTCTTGCTCCTCCTCGCCACCCTCAGACCCAGGTTCATCCTCGGCCTTTCCCAATCGCTCGAACTCCACATCGTCAGCGTCCACCTGAGGTCATTTCAAGATGCTGGAGAAGATTGGCTCCTACAAGGTGTTTGTGGCATTGTGCTGGGAGCCTCAACATCTTTCTTCTCGTGTCGTTCCTCATCTTCAGAAAGCTCTTCATCACCCTCTTCATACACAACGTAATACTTCTTGATTTTCGGGTTGTAGCGGTCTTTCCTCAAACATAATGCAGGTTCAGGTAGCTAGTCTCAACTGAGGGTCACGCTAGTATAGAATGAAGGTGAACAGAGTTGAAGCACTGTCAACACTGGGCATTTTGAGCAGTGCAGAAAGGCAGCTTCCACAATCGCTCATTGCCAGGTCGTTCACAATAAGCCACAACATCTTTGATGTAGCTCCTGAGATGCTAGCTACAGTGATCATGATTCAATATGATTCAATGATCACTGTATTGATGGTTTGTTGTGGGGACACAATCACAACATGATTGAAAGAGAATGGTCACGAGTAAATGTTTTGGAAGCAGCCTACTTTTGACAACCATTCATGCTCATGACTCATGAGGGCACATGTGGAGGACATTGTTGAGCCACACGAACCCGACAGTATTTAAGATTAGGGACGCAGACCACTGCAGGATTCTGGACATGGCTTCCTTCGTAAACCAGCCCCTCTTCTTGCGCTTGCTTAGCTTGCTGATCTTGGAGATGGACTTGGTGATTCGGGAAATGAAGATTTCCTGGAAAACATGTTGGTGATTGAATGATCTCAAACAACATGTTGGTTTCACATTCACGGTATATTTTCATAACCTATTTTCATAACCAGGATTTAGCAAACAAGGAAACACTGTCCTTGGCCCAATTAGCCTTTTCAAACTCCTCAACCATGGCATCCCGTTCCGCTTTGTCGGCCTTCTTCCAACGCTCATGAACTTCTTTTGGCACAGCGCACTTGCCGCTCGGCTTGACCTCGCAAAGGCGCCTCAAACGAGCATGCTTTGCACCTTCGGTTTGCGGAGCAGGCGGGATCTCAGCACCAGTCTCAGCACCGTCCACTCCTTTGGGGCAAGTAGGTGGTGGGCCAGGTTCCTGCCTCAAACTCTTGCTCTTGGGTTTTGGGCTTGGGGATGGCGCAGGGTGTCGCGGTGGCGGAGTCTTGTAAGATGAGGAGGAGCCCTTGGTTTGAGAGGTTGCTTCATCGCGGAGCTTGGCCAACTCTGCTTGCATCCTCTCATTCGCCTAGCCAGAACATCCAACCAAATCAAACTTAATTAGGGTTGGATAGAATTGTAGCGTTTGCGTGCAATGAGGAACAAAAGCGCTAGCAAATCAAAAATTGTGGAAAGGGTCTTCAAATATCAATCTTGAATTCTCTTGTTCGTGTATAGATTTGTGACCCCATTAGAATAAATCCCATGGTGGCACCTTGCGAAGCTCCTCAATCGCCTTCTGTGGATCTTCCTCCGGCTGTTTCCCCTTCACCCGCTTCGGGGGGTTGGGGTTTGGTGAAGCTACGTTTTCTTTTTGGGGTGATCGATTATGCTTCACACTCGGCTTCGCTTTGGACTTTGCTGAAGTTGTAGCCGGCGCCCTCCCCTTCCTCTTAGGAATAGAAGCTTCCAGCTCTTCCGGTGTAGCCTTAATGGGGCCCAAGCTGAAGTTGCATACCATTGGTGGCAGAAGGATTACACAGCTAATTGGGTAACAACATGCAAGCTGGACGGACGCCAAGGAACTGGAACAGTCTCAGGGAGCTCCTCATGCAAATCTGAATCCCCAGCCTTATGTCCAAAACAAAACTTGTCCGGAATGCATTGTTTCATCGCATTCATGCCCCATTGGACTTGAAGCTTCTTCCAGTAAAGCTTAAAGTAAATTGGTTCCCAGCCACGTTTGCAGCCTCAGCAGCTTGCTTCAAAGACTCAAGCTGCGCCTCATACTCCTGCAGCCACATTGTGTCACCCTCAACTATGGTCGCGGGAAGGACTTCTTAAGTCCAATCATCAAAAGACCCAGCTTGTGGCATGTGATTCAACTGACCGGGTTTGTTGTGTGTGTTAGATTTCCCAAGATGTATGACCTTAAGTTGCAGACGACGTGAGAGCTTGTACCAAAAAACATGAGTGACTGGCAAAGTGTAAATGACATGCGTAAACCTTTGGAAGTCGCTTGCATGCCTATGACCTAGAGAGGATGAGAGGACAAAGGGTCCACACTAGAGGCTGGTGTGGACCCTTTGTGTCCTCTCAACCTGTGTTGGGATGTGTATATGTTCCTCAGATCTCATACAATTTGACAGCAACAAACTTCTATGGGTCCTTGATCTGCTTTTGGAGGTCAGCTGTGGATAAAGCTTCCTGTTTCACCTTCATCAACGCTCGTTGACCTTCTGTCAGCTCCGAGCAGCTGAACTGTCTGGAAGCCACAGGTTGCTTACTCCTCTCTGTTTTTGGAGCCATTCCCACTCACAAATGTGTGAGGCTGGTGGCTGGACGGCTCTTCTGAGCCAATGCAGGTCGATTCATGCATCGAGAAGGCTGGATGGTGAAGGGACTGGGATTGAAGCTTACAAACATCCCTCAAACAGCTCAAAACCATAATGTTTAATGAACTTCAGCGTTACGGGAAGATGACGGAAATTGCACGTAATCCGGTACGCAAAACCACGCCCCTTTGATGGAAAAATACGGTCCTATTACGCGTTACGGGTCCGTTACGGGTCCGATACGTACAAAATGCGTACAAAATACGTATTCTCAAAACATGCTGAGAATTAATCAAAAACTGTTTGAAAGTCACTAAAGTACAAGTGTACTTCATGTAGTTGCAAGAAAAGCAAAGCTTAGAGATGTTGAAGCACCTTGACATCTCCAAACTCAAATCAGGACTGCAAGATTGTTCAGTGGAAGCAAAGTAAACAAGTTTTTGCACTGTACATTCAAGACCGTTCTCTCACTCAAGTGGTGTAAACGAGGCCCCACTGTTTTTTCTATCATCTTGGAATGGTCAAGCTCCGGAATCCATCCTCTAAGTCCCAGGCTCCAAATTGGGATCAGCTAAGCTGCAGAATCCCAGAAGCACCGGTTTTGATGAATTGTAACACCAAATGAATTAAGGGTCACACATGTCACACCCAACATCTCCCAAAAGTGAAGAAACAAGCATCTATGCCTCCCAAAGACGACAAAATAACGACAAGTTCACTGGCACGGACACCGTGTATCACACCACTGCTTTTCTAAAGCAGTTCTATGAAACATTCTTGGAGACATCGGTAAGTACTGTGACCAGTCTTCAACTTAAATTTCAGTTGGAAAAAGGGACCTCAAGCCCCCCAACTTCAAATCATGACTCCCCCGCAAATAGCGAAAGACTGATTCCATTCTGGCGTCCACCCACCAATCCACATCATGCCACGGCAAGGATTCGAAGAGATCGATGCCAAAGTTCAAGTTGTTCTCCTCCACATGAGCCCAGAAGCGAGGACGTGTGCGGATGAATCGTGGGTAAAGCCTGGCCAATCGAAGTCCAAACTTTGGAGGGTAAGACCTGGGCAAGTGGCAAGACAAGATTGAGGAAATCTCAACCCCACCCTAACAGGAAACTTGCAGTGAACCCAAGATTGAAGATTGTTGAGCAGGATCCAAACTCCAATTAGATCACTATGGTACAAACATGACAGACAAGGAGAAAAGGTTAGTGGCTATGACACTGTAGCCAAGGGACCCCGTTGACTTCAATGCTTTGGAGCCAGCAAACCTTTTGACACCGGTCTTCGACTTGTACTGCTTGGTGCTCTTTACACCATACTTGGCAATCGTGTCTTTGTACTTTTTGCACAAACGGCCCAAGTCCAAGCATTGAATTGTGGGGGAACTGCTCCAACCAATGTGCCTCTTCCATGTCGGAGCACCGTACATTCCAGCCCACCACTTCGCTTGGTAGACCTCCAAAATATATATGTTTCAAGGAAAAGAAATAGGCGTCCCTATCTATCATTCCCATAAAACGCTGATGGTTGGCAGTATTCAACATCTCTGGTAAGAGGTTTAACAGTTGAATTGCAATAGGGTCTATTGTTGACACGCTGACAGTTGTGTGTCACACTCAGTTGGATAGCCCCCAACCTTGGGTAGGAGTCTCCACAAAAGCCTGATTCTAGGATGCCAGGTTAGGAGCGAGCTTCTTGGCTGTTCAAGCATCCAACTTCCTCCCATAGCAACCACGGCCAAAATCAATAGCGTGGTCCTTGGTTTGCAGCGGACAGAGTGTGCTAAGAGGTGTTCTTTCACACTGGGGCATTGGATGAACACCCAACAGCTCTGCCTACCTAGCGCGAACAATACGCAACCCTGAAAACCCTTTTGGCTTTCACCACTCCTGGCCGCAGGAGGTCATTGGTATGGGTTGTGGAAGATTGGAAGGTTGTGGAAGGCAGGGTTGGGAAGCAAGTCCTACTTGGCCAAAGATGAGGTTGATGGAGCATTGATTGGGCACGAGAACAACGTTCTCAAAGACTAACTTGTGGTTTCAATTTGTTTCCCCAAGGTTTGCAAAACTATGCCTTAACAGAAGAGGTCAAAAAGCCTTTTAGAGCATACGTCCTCCAACACAGCATTTGGAGGACGCATGATGCCCTTATCGAGGAGACCTCATCCTCCCATGAGGTTTTGGACCTTTGGTAGTGTTGGTCCATCTTGCATACCAAGAGGGGTCAAGATGTTACAAGACTAATAGAGGAGGATTATTAACATCTAGTATTCCTGTATATTCCTGTTGGCCTCTTGACCTCTCTTGGTAAGGGGGTACCACGTGCTCTAGAACATGGATTGTCTTGCTTGGCGAAGTCAAGTTTGAAACAAGTGTCTTGGCTGTGAACTCGTTGCCATGTTTGACAAAATCCATAGATTCTAAGCCCAATGGAGAGCTGGGACATCGATAATGGGAGCCTTTGCTGATTGTGACATAGCTTGAGCACACCAGTCCGAAAAGTGCCATAAAGGAATCGAACTTTGCATTCAGGATGGACACCAAGACCAACCTCATATCGCACGACGTGATGAACTCAGGAATCTTCTGCGCAATAATGTTTTCTATCCTTCCCTGTGCAAAGCACACATGCATCACATGCAACAAACAACATGGGCAGTCCATTTGAAGCTATGCAGTTGAAGAGCGAAAACCCTGCATCGGATAGCAGGTCCATAGCATCTTGCTTGCCAGGCAATGGATCTCCCAATCGAATGTCAAATGAAACAGTGGCAATGCCGTTTGCTTTCATGCACTTCGACACCCAGCCATCTCCACTGAAGACTTCAATAAATTCAATGGACTGGCAGCAGGGAAAGGAGTTTCAATCTATTGTGGAATCTTTGAGAATACCTAGCTAAACCCACTATGCCCCTAGGTCAGTACACCACAAGCCCCATCCGGAGCACCCCGCCTCTGTGAATGTGTCCAATTTCGAGTTTGCCGTGAGCAGGATGATGCACGCCATCAAAACCTTCCAGCGAGGCCCGATCGGCTTTCAGGATGGTCTGCGGACAGGCATTGTTTCCAAACAGGACTTACCACCTGTATGGACCTGTAAGGTTTAGGTCATTGCTACATATTGCAACAGTGGAGTGTCAAAATGTTTGAACCATGGCCTTCATGGAAGGGAATATTATATTACACATTCAATGGCACGCGCAAGCCAACCTTCGGAGCACCCATGAGATAGAGTCGCTGCAGAACAAGGTTCAGCTTCCATGCTTTGTCAGGGCTCAAGAGTAGCTCATCCATGGCTAAGAAATTGATGAGGGCTTCACTACAGCAGAGCCAATCGTCTGCAGATTCAACAATGGGACTGGCGAAAGGGATTGGGCAGCATTGCAAAGTTTGCACGTCATAGCAAGTGACAGTGTGCTCTTTGATTATGCAGGGCTCCCATTGGAAGTGGTACACAGCCCACCCCAAGCAAAACACACAACCAGATTAGGACACATACATCGGTATACAGCCAAACGTTTTCAATTGAATTATGTATAGAACAAACTTCTCAGAAAGAACCCTGTGCCTTTATTGGCACCATGTGTTTACTTGTCATGCATGTGTTTGATGCTCTAAACCTTTAGCCCCTCTCTGTCTCACATGGCGCTGAAGCGAGACAGGTCCACCAGCAAAGACCCCTCCAAGATCATTCTCCATGCTGGCCTTAGAAGCCGGCTGCACACGGCTGGTTGTTCCAAAGCCACAAATGGAAAGTTGCACGATTGGAAATCCTTGGGATGATTTTAAACTATTACCTGATCATGTAACCTGTGACAACTAATTGATAATCCATGGAGGGGGGCAAGTTGATCAACCCAAAGGAAAACATGTTTGTCATTGCGCAATTTTTCCTCAGAGCCAGCTACAACGGTGGCATGTGGATCATGTGGCACAGGAACCACTCCGACGCACAAAGATTGGCTGATGAGAAGACCAGGCCAGAAAGCTTTGGTGCATTGCTCCACTTTGTGCTTTTCAAGAAGCCTAGGCATTCATACATTTTCTGAAATGTATCGACGTTGGTGGAAACCATATGAGCCATCAAGAGCCATCGAAACACAGGAGCATGATAGACCTGACCATGTACCAGCTGCTACACACCCTACCGCTGTGAGGGCCCTAAGGTCGTTACCCCCTAAGAGCATAAACATTGTCCCCATTCCAGTGACTGCTTTCCCAAAACAACAATGCAAACAAGAGCTTTATCATGCTTTATCCCTTGGAACATACTGCTCTTAGTATAACTAGTAGTTCAAGTGTTGTTGCGTTGGGTTTCATCTTGCAGTCAGGTTGGATGGAGCCTACGAGGTCTTTGAGCTCTTCTCGCTCAAGCCCGCTAGGTACTCAGAAGCTGCAGCCTCTGCCAAACCATGAATGTTCTTCGCATTGACCTCTTCCGACGCCCACTTGTTCGTGGCAAATTTCCAAAAGCCATCCTGGAGGCAAATTTGTTCATGGGAGCAATTGGGAGCATGAAAGAGATGAATACCTAAGTGAATACCTATAGGCCTTGCAAGGACTTTGATCCCAAACAACAAACTGGTGACTGGTGGCAACATCAGACATGTGGGTAACCTTTAGTCACCTTGAGGACTACACAGGACAATGTGGAACCGTTCAACTGTTCGTTCATTGAGGAGCCTCGCCTACCGCAATGCTTCTGTCTCGTCCTGTCAGGTCCGCGCGCGCGCGCCACTCAGGGGAGCCAGTGTGCATACATGTGGCGAGCGCGCGCGCGCTGACCCGACAGCCACTAACTCAATAGGCAGGCAAATTAACGTTTGTTGGGGGGGCAACCTATATGCGCACATGTTTGATTTCATTTGCACCCACCACCCCCACTTTCCAACTTGTCACATAAAGTCCTCGTGGGCACTGTAGTGGGAGAGCACAGGCTTGATTGTTTTCGCAAAGCAATCCCGTAGTACTTGCCACTTCAACTTTGGAAATTCGGATTTGGGTTCCACCCTTCTCGCAAACGTCATGGCTTCAGCACCCCTTTTTCTTGTACGACTTCCTTTCCCTTCTCCCACATCTTTTTGCCCCTTTTCAGACTCCTTTGCTTCCTCTTCACAATCTTTGATCTTCTTCTCAGATTTCTCTGCTTTCACTTTTCTTTTGCGTCCTGATGGTGCTGGCTCATTGTAGTCAGCCTCAATTGGCACAGAAGCCTCAGATTGACCTGCCTTCTCTTGTTGGGGCTTCTTACGCCTTTTCTTCTCCGGCTGCTCCTTTCCTTTGTCAGGCATTTCCTTTGCATCATCAGCAATGTTTTCTTTTTCATGGTTGCTTTTTCTCTCTTCATCATCTGTACCGTTGCCTGGCGCACTGGCCATCTCATGTTCCACCTCTTTTGTCACGTGTCCTGCCAATCCCCCTGAGCTAGGCTCCTGGGCTTCATCATCCTCATGCGTCAAGGCAGCAGTGCTCTTGCCTCTTCTAAAAGCATCTTTGTTGGCGATGTTTTTCACATGAGCTTCCTTCGAATCTGTCTTCTTTTCATTCCCCTCACCCTTTGCTTCACTTGGAGTGGTTCCATGACTCTTCTCATGTGCATCATCCCCCTCCAAGTCTTCCTCTTCCACCTCTTCATCAGCCAGGTATGGCTGGTCCTCATGATCTTCTTTGTCATGCTTGGCCTTAGCCTTTGCTTTCCCTTTGGGTGTCGCTTTTGCTTTTCCTCTTCCTCTGCCCCGACTCTTGCCCTTTCCCCTGCCCTTCCCACTTTTCTCTTTGCTTTTCAGCTCTGCGTCATCATCGTCCTCTCCCTCTAATTGTTTCAACCCAAGCTGCGAGCGACGCAATACCTGGGCAAAAAGAAAAATGCACCAGTGGGACCCAGCAGGATTGGAAAGGAATCTCATGAAAACACCCCTCAGCGAGACTTGCAATGATGCTAATTGCACTCTTTGGCTGTCAAGGTCGATCTAAAATCCAAGCAACATGAACAAAACTGATACCATAAAATCTCACCGAGGCACCACTGGGGCAGAAGGCAATGCTGTAGTCCCAGGGTCACTAGCATGGTTCTTGGACATAGCCTCCATGTCACTAGGGGGCAGTAGAAGTGTGTCAGCTTGATCACCACCAAATGGGATACTCTCCATCACGTAGATTGCGTCTTGGGAAGTCTCACGCTTCGGGTTTGGCTGAACTTCTTGCTGCGCACGCCTCAACTAAACCCTCCCAAAGTAGACAATCCAAAGATACCTGAAGCCTTTTGTTGTAGTTTTGTTTCGGGATAAATGAGGAATTAGATCAAAGCCCGCATTTCAAGCGCTCTTTTGTTGAATCAACTATTGAATATTGGAAAAGTTCTGGTGGAAAAGAATTGTTCGAACATGTGAGTGAGCATCAAGCAACAACACCACATAGTGTTAGAAAATATGTGTGAATGAGATCCAGGCGCTGAGACGCATACAGCTTCTTGGCATTGTTCAATTTCATGGAAAGCGCCGAGATATGGTTTTCGATCTCAGCCCGTCTTGTGACAAAGTCACAAAAAAAAGCCTTCTCTCAGCTTTTGTTTGTCCTCACTCTTCATGGTTGTTGGGCCAGGGCTGTCTCCAATTTCGATGACTTCAGCCGGGGTGGGCTCGGGCTCCATCTCAAGCCTGGAGGTGTCATCCAACGCCATGGGACGATCACCTTCATCCTCATTGGAGTTGAACTCCATACTCACCATGCCTCCGAGCACCTTAGCCTCCTCACTCTCTTCAACTTCCGGATTCTCCTCTCTGGTGCCGTTTTGCACATCGTGATCAAGAGCATCAAGATCATGTTTTTCCAACTCCTCCTCCCCTTCTCCGTTCACATCCATGAGTGCCGCATCCACGTCATCATTCACACCCTCCTCCTCCTCCTCCACCTCGACATCGGAATCGGACACATCGATCTCTTCATCCAGGTCTGCATCGTTGTCACCAAAGACCTGGCTGTCGGGCTCCTGAGTCTGCGAGTCATTGTGGAGGTTTTTCTCCTGGCAGTTGGCGCTGGAGCTGCGGGGGTCAAGAAGCCATGTAGCAGTAGCATTGTATTCAACATGCTAGTGGGTAAAATACAGAAGTAGTTTTTCCCTTGCTCATGAATCCTCCAATGGAATTGAAAGTTGATGGTTCACGCTATGTATGCATCGCCATCTAGGACCATGAACCTTTAAATCCCAACACTTGCCATCAACAAGTTAACTGTTGAGCCAACATTGAACAGCTACAGTGAGAACACACTGGGATTGGACAAGTCCTCAGGATCGAAGACCAAGGCCAAGAGCCTCCTAAACAGCTTTCCCCTGCAAAGTTGATCACGCTGGAGCTTTCGCTTAACCAAGACCAAGAATGCCTTGGCAAGCTTAGCTTGCTTCTTGACCAGTTTGTTGGATGGTGTAGAGACCTTCGACTTCAAGTACAGCTGTTTGATCCTTGAGTGGGCTTTTGAAAGCCAAAAGAGAGAGTATAATCTTGCAGCAATTGATCAGGAGGTGTTTGAAGTAAGGTAATTTTCCCATGTTTCTTTCAGGGAAACTAAAACAAAAACACTTCAAACATGTTGTGAGTCCAGCAAAGTGTCATCTGTTCGATGTGAGGAACGCAATGCATCCCCACTTGTCCAGGCGGGTCTTGGAGTCTTCGAACCAAGGGTTTGAGAGCTTTAAAGTTATGCTCACCACACTCCACATTCACACGGACATCCGCTTCGGTCGGAACGGGCACGAGCAGCTTCCCTTGCTCACGAATCCGTTGCCGAACGATTTGGGAATCATCCCATTCATCAACCACTCCCTTCAAAGAAGCCATGGGACAGGGCTGGCTGAGCACCAAGCTTGGGCAAAAAAAGGTCTGGGGATGGAAGAGAACAAGCTGCATGTTTGCAGTCACAATCCCCAAGATGGCAGTTGACTTGTTGTTTTCAAGATGGCTCCATTGATACTTCCATTGATTTTACAACACACCATCAAAGTGCCTAAGAACTTGGGTCCCCCAAGTCAAGTTTAGAGCTATCATCTCCTGCCAAAGACCGCCATCAACTCATTCAACTCCAGCTGGCTGAGGTCCCAGACCCTTCAACCAGACACACGGCCCAGCGCGGGCCGGAAAAAGATGCTGCACGCTGCAGCTGTGGCCGGCAGGGTGATGGGACACGATGCTGGGCAAGGATCCCGCCCAAGACCGATCGATGATGATAGGGATTGTTTCATGATAAGGTCATGGTAGTCATGTGGGTGATACTGATCCTAGGTGTTCAAAGGTTGATCC